ATATAAACTTTTCCCATATTTAAGACATGCTCCAACATGTCAGCGAGAGCGAGAACCTTCATGATGCACTCACCAAATTACATGAGTTTCGTTTCACTGGAACAGACCATGCAGGTTCTTGGAGAACAATCTCGACCCACTAGGAGAGCTCTTGTTTCTACTTCAGTAGAGTCAAATATATCACAAGATTCCTTCACCTTTGAAGAGACCGCTCACCGCACCCAAGCAGGCGAGGATTCCCAAAGAAGCTGCCATCAAAGTTTAGGTTAGAGCCATGTTGCTTTTTCCACCTCATTCAGGTTTCAGATACATAAGCACACGAAATCCTATAATCCTCCATATGTGAGACTAGGGCCCCCCAATCTAATATGCTGATTTATTTCTTTACAAGTGCCAAGAAAAAGCACATCCCTTGATCCTTTACTTGAGTATGTAACCCCAAAAGATCGCATTTTTTTGCTTTATTTCAACCCCAATAACTAGAGAAGTTCTAGAGGATGTGCCTATAGTGAGGAAAGGGCATAATGTCCAACCTGCAAAAGCTAGAGAACCATCTTAGGTACATCCAATGGATACCAAAGAAATCTAAGATGACGACCATTGTAAAACAGGAAAACTGCAGTGAGAAAGTGGTTTTTCCAGGACTCTCAATACATAACAAAGATGTTTGGAATGAACAGGCCATAGAAATGAGAAATTTCTGCTGTCAGAAATCTGTGCAAGGTTGTCATCCATTAAAAAACCTATAGAATTGAATTAAGCCTTCACCTTAATAAGAATGGTAAACTGACTTAAAAGACCGCAAGACCATCCACTACCAAATCCCATAGTCAACCTTGGTTGTAGAAATGAAGATTCCATTCAACCCACCCGAAAAACGATGTAGCAAACTGACATTCTGTAGATCCTCATTAAAGGCAAGGATGGCAAACTACTCCAACGCCAAGCCACTCAAAGTAGTCATGACCTAGCTTTAACATTTGAAATGGACATCATCATAGCTTAGAAGCAATCCCACACTGTTTGCCCTCGTTCTAGACATCAGTAAAACCATCACGGACATACTTGTACTCACAATGCTTCTCCATAGTTTCTTTGGCTCCTCCACAAGTCTCCAGTACTCTTGCCCAACCTTGAAAATTCCTATTCCAATTCTGTTTATGGGATGGGCTTAGTCCTACATCATCCACCATGCCTCTCAAATGTTTAAATATCTCTGCGCACTTGACTAGGTGGAATTTATGCTCCTCATGGCTTCTTCTTTACAGAAATTTTCATTTATTTATTTCCAACTTCCAGGTCATGCATAAATGAATTCAAAACAAATATACTAAGGTGTTGTGTAGAGTGGGTTTCAAGTGTACAAGTCCGCAAAAAGACATGGTTACTATCTCACCCACAATACAATCTCCTCTTATAATGTTTCCCCAATGGATACTGAACTCTTTTTTCCCCTACAAAGAAGGTAACAAATATTGTTGTTAGGCAAGGATCCCAATCTGCACCCAATTCTGCAAGCTGGCCCCCCACAGAGGATCACCCTCTAGTAGACAAAAATACATTTTTGCATAAGTAATATCCTATCCCATGTTACAAAACCTGGCCGCCTGTCAAGGCCTCGCTGGGGTCCCGATCGTAAGTAACGTTTGACAAACTCAGCAGAGTCTGTCAGAGATTAGGTTGAGTTCAACCAAAATTAAATAATGGAAGCTGGCTCCGTCCAGCTTCCATGTTTCTAACTTCTAGGCTAGGCAAGGTGCCGAGCCTGAGAGATGCGGATGGTCCGAGTGATGTTAATTGTTTAAGCACTGCATTTTCCGACAAACATAACTTCTTGCTCACAACTCCAATTCACCATTATGACCATTTTTCAGAATGGAATATTGGTGCTCTACAATGCACAACCCAGTGTTGTTGGTTTTGTCTACTAATTTTGTAAAGAATGGTCTCTACATGTGTGAAGCCTGAGTCGTGAAGCTTTTCAAGCAAGATTAGGGGTGGTTCATCTTCTCGTCACAAGTGGCAGTATTCTTTTGGCCAAGGGAAAATACTGTCAATTTTGTCGATATGGTCTTTTGATTTTTTCTGGTTGGACCAGAAGGCAGCCACTTAAGCTTGGCTTGCAAGCTTTATTTTTATTTTCAATCTAAACATTAGATTTGTTGTTTGTCTTTGTTGGGTTTTGTGGCTTTTAAAGGCCTAGAAAGCTTGCAAAATTGATCAGTTATAGTAAAATATACACTTTGGTAGGAATGTGTGTCGACTGACCATGGGTTGGGCAGTTTATGGCCTTGGTTATGTCTAAAACCTTTACCCCAGGGCATGCAACACTTACCAAGAAGGGTTAACAGTGAGTCATCCCTCGTTGAGGTCGGACTGGTGCCAAGGATGATGTTTGTAGGCTTGTGAGAGCAAGGGCCAAAGCTTTAACAAACATCCATATAACATGTACATATGACAACCGCCTTACTGGAAAGCAACCCTATAGAGGGACACGTGTACATGTGCATAGAGAGAGCCCTCTTTGTATTGTGGTGATAAGTGCTAGACTTGCTCTTAAAGGGGGAGGAACTATAATCCACATTTCAGGATCATGGTTCCACTATTTATTGTTCACTTTTCACAAGACAATTATGAGTCCTTGCATTGAGACTATGTCATGGGTCTTTGTTGAGTTGGATAAGAGAACAATAATGCATTATGGTTCTTGGTTCAAGTGGAGTGCTCTTAGTGTCACCAAACTTTGACCCATCCACTTCTAAAATATTTTATTATAGTATTAAAAATATTTTTATTCAATTTTTTTTTTTTAATTTCCACTGTAAATTCATTAAAAAGGGTACTTTCGAAATTTTCAGACCTTGGAAGGGCACATATGGGGACCAAGGATCCAACCTCACATGTTTGTGCCACCATGAGTGGGGCGTGTGGCCTTGTGCGGCCCATATAAGGTCCCTAAGGTGGCACGCCACTTTTTTTGTTGTTTTATGTGCTATTTTTTAGTTAAAAGATGGCTAGATAAGGGATCTTTTTAAAATAGATTTGTTCCCTATTCAAGTGGGACTTTTAAAACAGAAAGATTATCATTGACTTCCTATAAATTTTGGAAGATCTAGATAATATTAAAAGTGGTTATAATTTAAATTTAAATAGAAATTGAACTTAAGTAAAATTGTAAGGGGATAAGGTTCTAATTTCTATCCAAGATCATGGTGGCTGATTTTTGAGATGGATGGCTCAAATTTAATCTCTCTCTAACCCCACAGATTTTCTAAACAGCCTAATGGTCAAGCTGAAAAATTAGATAAGGCATACCTAGATGGAATTCGGTTCAAAGTGGGAAACAAATTTCATCCTATTAAAAACATATTTGAACCCTTCTCTAAAATTAAGAGACAAGACAAAAAGCTTCTCTTTCTCCTCTCACGCCATGTTTCTCTCTCCCATACTTTCTCTAACACCAACCTCTCTCTCTCATATTTCCTCCATGCCCTAATCTCTCTCTCTCCCCCAAATTTAAACCACGTGCCTCCCCTCTCTTTCCCTTAAGAAGTCATGCCACCCTCCTCTCCTCTTTTATGTGTGACATCTAGCAAAGAAAATAAAGGAAAAAAGGTCGCACTTTCAAACCCTAAGTGAGGTTTGCAGATTTTTCAAGAAGAAGAGAGATACAACCAGCCAAGAGAGAAATGAACCCTCAAGCCTTGCCCTAGTTTGTTCTTATAGGTTTCCATAAACTCTAGTAGGGTTTTTTGAGCTCTCTAAACCCTAGATTGAAATGTATTGCCTTAAAAACTTCCCCATCTCAAAAATTCCAGCAACGCCTAAAGGACAAAAAGTGCGCCATCGGTCAGGGAATCGGGTGTGAGGTGTATCAAGATCAGTGACAGTAACTCCAGGCATCTTCTAATAAGTCTTCCCAGTAGGTTTAATTAATTTTCAGTCATATTTCATATTTTTCTATGAATTTTCTAGAACATATATTGTACTCAAAATCATAGTGCAAGATTGTTTATTGCTCCTGGATGTTTTTTATTTGCTTTGGAAATGAAAGTAAAGATCCTAGATTGTGTCTAGGTAATTAATTTTGACTTCCAGCATTATATAGTGGCCCATCTAAGTGGAATTCAAGTATATTGAATAAAGGAAAAGAATTTTTTTAAAATTTATTACCTTGAGTTCAACATATTTGTCTTGTGTCCCACCATCTGGTATCATTGTTGAAGGTTCGTCCTTCTCGGTTTGCAGCAGTTGCTATTAGAACCTTGGTACCCATCTACATCATTTGGTATCACAAATTGGGGATTCACTGTCCTTGGTTTACATCATATGGTTCCAGAGCAAATTCGTACCAAGTAGATCTAAGTGCATGGCTACTAGAGAAACCTGTACTATGGATTTAGACTTACATGAGAAGGCTACAATGATTTGTTGAGGCAATTTGAGGTACGGGTGTATGCGGTACATCAAACCAATTCAAATGGAAGATGATTGGAGGAATTGGTGTAAGAAGTGCACCTAGCCCTTTCTGCTTCAAGCTCGGTTACTCATGGCGATGCCGAATCAGAATTTGCAGGACAACACCTTTCCCATGAGTAGAGAAAGGATGGCATTCCACTCTTTAACAGGGGGAGGGACAAGGAAATGGGCATTGGGTTTTGTGGCCTTTAAAGTTTATAAAGCTTGTTAAAATAATAGTTTATAGTAGATTATGCACTTTAGCAAGAGCGTGTTGACTGACCATGAGTTGGGCGGTTTATAGACCCGGTTATGTCCAAAACCCTTACCCCTAGGCATGTGGCATTACCGAGAAAGGTTTACAATGGATCATCCCTTGCTGAGGTCAGAGAGATGCCCAAGGATGATGTTTGTAGGCCAGAAGAACTATGTGGTTTTCTGAGTGCGGTTGTAGGCCTATGAGTGCAGGGGCCAAAACCTCAAAAACCTTTTGTACGGCATGTACACATGACAACCGCATTACTGGGAAGCAGTCCTATAGAGGGACATGTGTACATGTGCATAGAGAAAGCCACTTTTGCACTGTGGTTACAAGTGCTGGATATACTCTTAAAGGGGGGGACTGAAATCCACATTCCATGATCATGGTTCCACTGTTTATTGTCCAACTTCGACAAGCCAATCATGGCCCCTGCATCGAGACTGTGGGTCATGGGTATTTGTTGTGCTGGATGGATGGCTTAGGTTTGTTCTATCTCACCCCACATATTTCCTAAGTTCCTATTACTCAAGTTGTGTCATTGGATAGACAAATACCTAAGGAAGGAGTTGAAATCCAAATAGGAGAAGAAATTCTTTCTATTACAACACCATTGAACCCCTCAATCTCAAGACACAGACTCTATGCACCAAGTCTCTCTCTGTCTCTGTCTCTCTTACATTAAAAAAGTTGTTTGTCTCTCTCCCCCTTTCCAAAAAGGGCCATGTAACCCAAAATTTGATAAGACAAGGATGGCACATTGAAACCCTAATTAGGGTTTTGTTGTTTGGAGAAGAAAAATAGGTACGCCTAGCTATAGGAGGATTCTATGCCTTCAAGCCCAGCCTAATTTGTTCCTAAGGATTTCTACAAACCCTAGTTAGTTTTTCATGCTCCTTAAAATCCTAGAATAAGAGATATTGCATATGAAAGCTTTCCATCTCTGAAATTCTAGCAAGATCAAAAGGGACAAAAATTGCATCCTTGGTTAGGGAATCTGGCGTGGGGTGTATCAAGACCTGTAAGGTAACTCTAGGTAACATGTAGTAAGTCTTCCCAGTTGATTTGATTATGTTTTATTCATATTCTATATTTTTCAGTGAATTTTCAAAAACATATTTTGTACTTAAACTATAGTGGACGATTGGTTATTCCCCCTATTTGGTTTTTATTTGCTTTGGCAATGAAAGCATTGATCCTAGGGTGCATTCAAAGTTTTAAATTTAATTTACAGCAGTGTATAGTGGTCCATGTAAGTGGAATTTAGGTATATTGAATAAAAGAAAAAGAAAATTTTTGAATTTAATACCTTCTACTCCTTTCAATGGGAAGAAACTTTGATCTTCCCTAAAAGCCTTAATGATTATGCCGATTCCATGGGTGATTCAATCTTTGATGAGGAACCTTCCGATAGAGATGTTGGTGATCTTATCATTGATAGAGATCCTATCTTCGATGAGGGTCCCATCTTTGATGGAGATTTGGGGCGTGATCTTATTTTGGATGAAAAGCAAAGTGGAGGTGGAGTGAATGAAAGAGATAACGATGGCGATGATGGTGATAATGGTAAAGTGAAGAGATAGAAGAGGAGGGTCACACCCCACATTTGCACACTGCTAAACTTGGATCCACCTAAGCTCTCAGTGTCTCCCCCATGGTGCCTAGATCACATTTTTTAGCACATTTTCTATCTTTACAGGCATATTCATGTCTCCTTTCAACTTACATGGTGAGGCGAACTCTAGTGCAGATTCGCTTGCAAAAGGAGCTAGATGCGAAGCAACAAAGATGGAACGACCCTAGACATTTTGAGCTACGCTCCTGCTGGTTTTGGACATACAGTTTTATGGTTGTTCTTTTTTTCTGTACAACGTACTGTCCTAGGCACCGCTTTTTGTATATGGCCACTTGGAGTATGGGTCCAATTTTTGAAGCCGGCAGATCGGGTCTTGATCCAAAACCTGGACTTGAACATTATTCGGGTCCGGGTGCAAGTCCAGCTGACCCGTACTCATAAACTATTGGAGAAAAAATACTTTACTGTAAGACTTATTCGTTTGGGTGTACTAAGGATTGTGTACAATAACAACATGTAGTCATCTTTAGCTATTAAGCGACTTGAAATATAATGGCGGGTGATTGTTACTTTGTTGCCAATAATACGGGAATATGATAGTAAAAAAAAGGGCAAAAAAAAAAAGAAAAGAAAAGAAGGTCATAGTCATAGGGTGGCAATGAACCCGACTAGATCCGGAACCCGACGGGTAGACCCAGGACCCAACGGGTCCAAAAGCTAGACCCGAATACTATTCGGGTCCAAGTCCGAGTCCAATTGGACCCGACCAGTTACCACCCCAAATGGCCACTGATTTTGTAAGTGGGCTCTTAGTTAAGCCCATAGTCACCGATTTTTTGTGAATGAGCTCATAGCTAATCTCATGGCATTATTCTTTTCACCAAGTGCAAATATTGTCACTTTGTGGGTACGGCTATTGGATATTTCCTAGGGGTATTTTGGAAGTTTTAAAGCTGTTTAATTGAGGCCTAAGTTAAGGCTAAAGTTTTAGTCTACAAATACAGGGACGTGAGAAGTTCTAAAGGAGTTTCGACATTTTGATACAAGGCAGTCATTGAAGCTTGGCTTGTAAGCTTTGTCGCAGTTGAGGAAAAGTAAAATCTGCAGTTGGACCAAAAACTGTCAGTAGTCAACGTGGAATTCTCAAGTTTCCCTTAGGTGGCCTGAACTTTTGAATTTATGTCGATAGAAGGTGTCATAGGCATACAAATGGAGCAACACTATTTGAAAAAAAAATGGCAGATCGGAAAAGCACCACTAAAATTCCACCCATTCATCTGGCAGAATTTCAATCTCAGTTTATTTTTGATATAAAGGCTCCATGACTAAGATGATTTTCTTAGGAAACCATAAAAACTAACTGATCAAAATCATGAATATAATGCAACTATCTGTTAGGAAACAAGTCACATGCAAGTCTACATTGAGAAAGACACTAAGGCCAATGGGATAAAGAATGAAAATTATACTTAATCAGAATAGAAGCTCTTTTAGCAAGCCTTAAGTACCTTGATCCATTTAAGTTTCGCTCCCGACCATCACCACTAAAAGCTTTAGTAACTCCATCTGCTGTATTGTGCTCCCAAATTTGATGCTGCCCAGCCATTGCAATGTAGACAATCTCATTGATGGGCTCAAAACATATATCCCATGGAGAGTTGAGAACCTACAGTACAAAATTCTAAGTTCTCAAGTTTGAACAAAGAAAAATACAAACTTATTAAAAGAAAAGCCAATCTATTTATTTAGGGTGCAGTTTGTATAGAGCCGAGGCTCTAAACAATCAAATTAGAGCCCACCTTCAAATAGTGTCGAGAAATATGGTTTCAATACTAGAAAGTTTTGTGATAGCCTTAAATTATATTTTCATCTTTAGTTATAAAATTTAAAGCTTCAAAAATAGTGTAGATCGAGCAGATCTATGAAAACTTGAAAATTGACTGTACAAAAATGCGTTACAAGATGCACTATTTCCAAAACTTGAAATCCATTTTTTTCTCATGTCCATGCTCTTGATGTCGAGATAATCAATTTGTTGATATTTGGGCATCAAAACAACCTCTTCTAGTGAAAGTTTTGAGGAAGGCTCTAATTTGATTGTTTAGATCTATATAAACTTTTCCCATTTATTTAACACATCTAAAACTAGTTTTGACTACTGCAAAGTTATGGATTACAGCTAAGAATCGAATCATAGTGTTTCAGTTACCAGGCGCACCAGTGGTATTTTAATTCTTTGAATGGAGAAAATCTAGAAAACCGACAATCTAGAGTAAAGAAGAGAATTAAATGATCATGCCTGATTGGATCCTTTTTTGCCTCCTTTATAGTCTGAACCTTTGGTCCCATTTCCAGCAAGTGTGCGCACCTTCTCATTAACAAAGTCTATTTCCCTAAACAACGTAGGTTGGAATAGGAATAAGTGTCGATCAGATAAGCTTGAAGAACAAAACATTCTCGAGTCTAAATATGATTCAGCAGCTTTCTCCTCTTAATGCAGATCACTATTGTGGTGCTTCTGTTGTTGTTCACTATCTAAAATGTTGGTAAACAGTGCAAAACCAAAAAAGAATATAAATGTCATCCTAAACCTTGGATATGCACCAATATATAAGAATTAGCGTAAACCAACAAATAGAGTGGTAATAGAAGAAAGTACATAAATATTTCTCCCTATAACCAGCTGTTTGTGCTGCCTTTTGCCATGTAACCTGTTGTTTGACTCAATTGGGGGATCTAGGGCTTCCAATAATACTCGGCCTATTATAATATTGCACATTCTCTCTCTATTTTGTAAGCATTTTACCTCATGGTTGGTAAAGTAAGACGGGAAAATCTAGCATCTATGATGTGATTGGAATTCCAGTTAATTTCTGTGACATTAAATGGGTCCAATTGGCTCCTGTGGACTCAGTCCATAAAAGAGTTTCCTGGTACCATGGGTAAGATGAAGTTCTTGGCTGAAGATGGGCCAAAAGAGTCAAATAGTGGGTTGAAGAATGGCTTAGCGAAACTTATCAAATCATGACATGGTTGTGGAATAGTATGGAACCCCATGTGAATGCTAATACGATGTTTCTTGATACCATGAAAGACTTTTGGGAGGCTGTGCCTGAGATGTACTCTTTTGATGAGAATATCTCCGGAGTTTATCAACTTTATGGGAGTATCTTTCTTTTACAGCAAGGTGACGAGAGTTCATGAGTATTACAGTACACTTCGGGTTATGTGGGAAGAGTTGAATGTGTATCAGCCTCTATCAAATAATATAGACCTACTGAAGGCACAAAGAGAAGAATTTAGAGTTACAATTTTTTTGTCCGGCCTTAATTCTGAGCACCAGTCCATTTGTGGATAAATATTAACTAGCAATAAACTCCCCTATCTCTCAACAATGTATACTCCTGTCTTCAGTGGCCTACCATATTTACACCTTCATCTGCCCCTAGTGCTAGTGATGGATCTTCCTTAACCTCCTCCACGGGTAGAGTTGATTGTAGATGTGGCAGTGGTGGTAATAGACGACAGGTTGTGATCCAGGGAGAGGTCGTGGTAAAGACCGTGGCAACAAGAAATGCACTCACTGTGACCAGACCAATCACATGGTGGGATAAATTTGGTAAGCTTGTTTAGGCTAACAAGGTAACTTATCTTTCTAAGGGATAATATCCATCTAGTTGACTCCAATGATCATCACCAGGTTCTCAATTCTTATAGTGACTCAGTTTTACTCTGACAATAATCTTATGAAACATAGTCAGTAGCCAACCACTCATCCCTCCGCTACTCTTGCAAAAACATGTACTTCTGAATTCCTCGTGTCCTAGAAGCCATTTCCTTGGTTCATTGACCAAGGAGCCCTTGATCATATGCCTAGTGAGTCTTCTATGTTTTCCTCTCTCGATCAATCAGTTTCCACTGCATTTGTTACATTAGATGATGGTTCTCTATCAAGTGTGTCTAGGGAAGGCATCATTAATCCTACTTCTTCTCTTTCACTGTCATCTGCTCTCTGTGTATCAAAATTCCCATTCAACTTATTCTTTTGTCTGTAAATTAAACAAATCATTTCGATGTTCAAGAACATTCTATCCTTCCTATTGTGTTTTTCAATATTAAAGTGTGAGGTTTGTGAGTTAGGCAGGCATCATAGGGTGTCTTTTCATCCTGGAGTCAATACGTCTGTTCCATTCACAGTTATTCCTTCAGATATTTGGATTCTTCTAGAGTTCAAAGTCTATCTAGTCACAAATATTTTTAATTTCTGTTGATATTTGTTCTCTAATGACATGGCTATATCAATGAAAGAAAGATCTGAAGCTTTGTCTATATTTCCATTGTTCCATAAAGAGAGTCAAATTCAGTTTGGTTAGAATTTTTGTATTTTGCATTCTGATAATGTTAAAGAATATTATCCCAAGATTTTCAAAAACTATTTAGCCCAACAAGGTATTTTCCATCAAACATCGTATGCACACACTCCTCACAAAATGGGTTTGTAGAAAGGAAAATTCAACATATAATAGAAGTAAGTCATGCGTTGTCAAATATGGTGTGGCAAAAGTTTATTGGGGGATGCGGTATTAAATGCTTGTTATTTGATAAATCGCATGCCCTCCTCTTTTTTATATGGAAAATCACCACACATTATCCTATTCCCCAAGTCTCTTAGTTTAGAAATCGTCAAATCTTTCTGTTGTGTTTGTTTTGTTCATGTTTTGCGTTCTAGACTGACAAGTTAAATTCTAGAGCTATTAAGTGTTTATATTTGGGATATTGTCATAAAAAAAAAGGTTATCGATGCTATCATTCTGGTTTAAGACAATTTTTTGTTTGTGCTGATGTTACCTTTCATGAGAATACTACATATGTTTCCAATGAGGGTCAAATGCTTAAGTTGATTTAAGTTATCCTGTTCAAGGGGAGACTTACAAATAATGAAATAGTGTCCTCTTCCTCCCATTCCATTCCTGTTTCTATTCCTCTTGATGATTCTTTGACACCACCTCAAGTGTCTGCTCCTTGTAGAGTCTGTCTCTCCCATAAAAGCATCTCTGTGAGGTATATATCAGGAAGGAAAGTGAAGGAGGTGCTACTACCATCAACTCAGACAGCCAATCAGTCTCCATCTTTGTCTACAGATCCACTCCCAGTACCTGACCTGACCCCATTTCTAGGCTTGATAATGTTGGTCTTCCAATAGCCCTTCGTCAAGGTCAATGATCCTGTATTAAACATCTAATGCTCATTTTGTTACAAATTTGTCTTCTTCCTACTGGAATTTTGTTTTATCACCTTCCACTACTTGGTAATTAAGTCCTTTCAGAAAGCTCTTTCTCATACAGGTGGAAGAGAGTAATGCAAGGAGGAAATGACAACATTTCAATCAAATGGCACATGGGAAAGATAATTTGATGTCAATGGGTTTATACAGTCAAATATCAACAAGATGGATCTGTGGAAAGGTTAAAGGCTAGGTTGGTGGCAAAGTGATGTACGCAAACATTTAGTATTGATCATTCTAAGACATTTGTTTGTTCGGTTGCCAAACTTAACTTCGTTTGAGCGTTCATATATGTAGTAGCAAACAAGAGGAGGCCACTGTGGCAACTTGATGCTCATGGTGATTTCCAAGAAGAGATGTAGATAGAGCAACCCCCACGATTTGTTGTTCAGGGCGAGTCAGACAAGGTATACAAGTTGAAGAACGCCATGTATGGCCTGAAGCAGTCCCCACGTGTATGGTTTGAGAAGTTTAGTGAAATTGTCATAGTGTGTTGGTTTCGACAGAGCCATATGAATCATTCAGTATTTATTCAGAGACGATTCACTGGCATAATGTCTTGGTGGTTTATGTTGATAATTTCATCCTTATAGAGAGTGGCCAAGGAGGAGTAAATAAATTAGAAGAATATTTGCTACAGTATGTTCAGACAAAAGATTTGGGCCAGCTAACGTATTTTCTTAGATTTGAAGGCTCCAAGTATGGTGATAGTCTGTCCCAATGGAAATACGTAACAAATTTGTTGACAGAAATAGGATGTTGGGTGCCAAATCAGTTCATACATCTATAGATCCAAGTACTAAATTATCCACAAATCAAGGAGAGTTACTTGAAGATCCAGGGAGATACAGAAGGCTTGTGGATAAAATAATCAATTGCAAAAATGTCAATTTTTAAATAATACGGCAGTTATTTGCACACGAATTTTACAAT